ATTACTTTTGTACAGCCTGGTGTCAAAATGATTAAAGCATGAAGAGAAACACAGAAGGGAAGGAGAGAGAAGTGAAATGATGTACCTCCATTGGCAGCAAGGACACTCAGTCCTATTCAGCTGGCTTCGCTCTACAAGAGAAACCAGGGTTAAGTCAAGGTCCGCTAGGCTAGTGAACACCTAAAATGGGGGAGGGGAGGTTTATGGCAGCCACTATTTTTCTTTTTCTTTTTCTTTCTCTTTTTTTTTTGGTTTTTTCGAGACAGGTTTTTTTTCCTCTGTGTAGCTTTGGAGCCTGTCCTGGAACACACTCTGTAGACCAGGCTGGCCTTGAACTCACAGAGATCCACCTGCCTCTGCCTCCTGAGTGCTGGGATTAAATGGCGTGTGCCACCACTGCCCAGCAGGAGTCACTATTTCTATATGGCAGTCTACATCACTAACATGAATGAGCACGTTGTCTTCCCCAATAAAACCTTTTCTGATCATAAATTGGACACTTACACTAAGTATATCTTACACTTAAAATATCAAAGAATGCCAAGATATAACTTTGCGTACCTAGCATATGAAGGCTGAGATTTAGTTTTTCAGTATTGGGAAAACAAACATAGTATATCAAACAAGCTCCACAATGATGCTGGGATATGAGGGTTGCGCTTACCCTCATAGTACCACAGGTGGGAGAACTGAGACTTGAGTAAGTCAAGTTAGCCCCAGGCATGGCGGTGCATGCCTACAAGCCTAGCATTTGGAAGATGCAGGCAGGAGCATCAGGAGTTCAAGGCTAGCCTCAGCTACATAGCGGGTTTGAGGCTAGTGATGGCTACATGAGTCCCTTCCTCAAAAAGAGGGGTGCAGAGACGGCTCAGCCGTCAAGAGTTCCTGCTGCTCTTTGAAAAGACCATTTTCAAAGATCGTTACTGTCAGCTCTAGAAGAGCGGATGGCCGTTTGCACTCCATAAGCATCTTCATGCAAGCAAACACACACAAAATTAATAACAATAATAATTATATGGAGGGTCAGCGGTGGTGGCACTTGCCTTTAATCCCAACACTCGGGAGATAGAGGCAGGCGGATCTCTGTGAGTTTGATCCAGTTCCAGGACAGGCTCCAAAGCTACACAGAGAAACCCTGTCTCAAAAAAAAAAAAAAAAATTTATTTAAATATAAAAAAATAAAAGAGTTTCAATGTGTATCCCTGGCTGGCCTGGAACTCTGTGTAAACCAGACTAGCTTCAAACACGCATAGATCTGCCTGGCTCTGCTTCCTGAAGGATGAAACCAAACCAAGATATTGCTCTTACAATATTGCTAATGTCAACAACACAACCTAGAGTACACAATTCAGAAACATCTGGATCTTTTTTTTTTTTTTTTTTTGAGGACTGCTATACCTTTGTTTGTTTTTAATATTTATTTATTTTTATTTTATGTATATGTTTGAGTACCTGCACGTAGGTATGTGAATCAGGTTCATGTTGGGTGTCCAAGGAGGACAGAGGGCAGCATTAGATCACCTGGAACTGAAGCTACAGGTGGTTTTTTGTTTTTGTTATTCGAGACAGGGTTTCTCAGTATAGCCTTGGCTGTCCTCGCTCTGTAGACCAGGCTGGCCTTGAACTCATAGAGATCCACCTGCCTCTGCCTCCCAAGTACTAGGATTAAAGGCGTGCGCCATCCCCACCGGCTCCTGTGTGGGTGCTAAGAAATGAACCCGAGTTTGCTGCGAGTGCTCTTAACGACTGAGCTATTTCTCCAGCCCAGCCATGCCTCATTTTGTTTGCCTTTTCCCAGAAGTAAAATAACTTGAGGGACTGAGACGCACATGAATGGCAGAACGCTTGCCTAGCATAGGCCTCAAGATGATCTCAAGTTTCAAGCCAGAAGGACTATACAGCAAGGCCTGCCTCAAACATAATAAATTCACAAGCACAAGATCAAATAATTGCTGAGTCGGGTAGTGATAGCACATGCCTTAATCCCAGCACTCAGGAGTCAGAGGCAGGCAGATTTCCGAGTTCAAGGCCAGCCTGGTCTACAGAGTGAGTTCCAGGACAGCCAGTGCTACACAGAGAAACCCTGTCTCACCGGGGGTGGGGTGTGTGTGTGCGTGTGTGGGGGGGGAGC